GGTTGGACCTGCAGATTTTCTGGGGAGAAGGCAGTGACTCTTAAGAGATCAGAAGAGGCACGTAGAAACTGCATACATGCCATTTCCAGAACAGGACACTGATTTCTCTTGCTTCAGAAAAGGAAATGAATGTGAAGTTCTACATCTTCCACATTATGGTGTGACAAAAGCCCAACTGTATGTCAGTTTTTAATGCCTATGAAACTCCCTGTGAAAAACTAAAATGAGACTAGTTATACTTTGCTACGGAAAACTATAGCGAGATCTGTAAGAAAAAGGTGATGTCTAAAGGGAGACTACTTACAAATTCAGGCATCTAAAAACAACATTATGAATCTTATGGCTGCCTAAAGGGGAAAGGAGCTAAAATGTCTATCAGAATGATTTCCCTATTCACACGAAATTCAACTTTTTGCATACTCTGGACTTTACCTTATGGAAGTGATGGTACCTCCAACCTTTTCTCTGCTGTTACACAGCTGACATGGGCCTCACACCCAGAACTTGGGCTCAGAAGGCTTCCTCAGACTCTGGAGTTCAAATCCACACCTCCTGCCTCTACAGCACAGCACCTGAGAAAAACACTTACCGCTCAGTGCTTGACCTGCTCTCCCTAAGAGGCTTTTTTAAAAAAAAAAAAAAATCTTCAATACAACTACACAAGAGTTTCTACAAAAATACATCATCATCATCGTCATAGAATCATAAAGGTTGGAAAAGACCTTTGAGATCATCAAGTCCAACTGCAAACCCACCACCATGCCTGCTAAACCATGTCCCTAAGTGCCTCATCCTCACTTCAGATACTTTACAGCAGAATTTGCATCTACTACTGTGTTGAGCAACAGGAAAATTGCTGTATGTGGAACACTACAGCTTACACACAGTACTTGTTCTTCTGGAATTCACCCGTTCAATAGAGATCAGCAATATTTAGATTTTCTTAAGTTCTGTTGACTTCAATTAATTCCTATGCTTCACATAGGAATGCAGAGAAAGTAAGTTATTTGTACTGTAGCCTCACCACAGGGGCATACCTAGATTAGAAGCAAATTACAGTAGATAAGCAACTGAATTGATTTTTAATTCCTTAGAGGTAAACTATTTAGTATTACAGATGAATGCATGTAGAAGTGCTTAAGAAGTATCTAAATCAGATAAGTGGTGTCCTCACAAATCTTTAGATGTATTATAAATTGTGCTTTGAGAACATAACTCCTTTAAAGAGCTCCTTTACATAGAACACAGCTCCTTTAAATGCTGAGTATTTTTGCCTTTTAATCTTGACCTCTAATATTAATCCTCTGATGATAGAAACTATCTTCCATGATAGTTTTTCTGCTTTGTTTTAAAGACAGGAAGTAAACCTAATCCCAATATTTCAGTAACAGCCCTTTATAGAAGCCAATTAGATATCTCTCTTATTCAAGAATACAAAGACAGCAAATAGTTTAAAAAGGAAAAAAAAGGAAAAAAAAAAAAAGGTAAAAAGCTTGTTTGACATTAGGATGAACATGTACCCGAAATAAAGCTTTCAACTAAAATTATACAATTTATTTGACGATCTTTTGATCGTAAGACAGTCTGATACCAGGTTAGTGAGGTGTTCTTAATCAAATGAAATATTCAGAACTCATTCTCTAAAAACTGCACCATTTTAAAGGAATTTTTCTTCCATTTTTTAGCTCTAATGCAAATATATCATTAAGTGTTTTTTGTTTTTTCAGCATTTTGTAAATTTGCAAGATTCAGAGACAGAGCTGTGGTCTGCATCCTCCTGGTTGTTGCTGCCCACAGGCCTCCTCACCGTCTCAGTGCAGTTCTGTATAATGCCCAGACGGGTGCGACATCCCCACAGGCCTGGTACTGTTTACCATCATAACGATGACTACAGCAATGCACATAGCTGGGTGTGAGTAAGCTAAGCAATATGCTGAGAGCCTAAGTTTAGTCATCAGTATTTAAAAAAATTACTTAGATTTTAACTGTTCTTTGACCTGAATATATTGCAGTAACATGTTTGCCTGTATAAAACAGAAAGCAGCTATATTAAAAACATCCTTGAAGGAACACACACCATTCCTGCACAACCCAGAGTGAAAAAAGGATGCTGATGCACCAGAAGCTAAAATATGAATTACTGATAAATGTTGTAGATGAGAGCACGTAGAACCTTGACAAGGGTATTGTACTCGGGAGCTTTGTTTTGATCAGCCATTCACTTAGCAGAAACACCACAGAAATGGCAGTTTTCTGAGTACTCAGGTTGCCTAACCAGGTAACATACTTCTCTGAAATATCTTCTAGCAATAGCTTCAAATATGCTCTCCAGGTTAAGGAACAGGAGAGCAAAACCTCTTCAGGCTCTTCTCTATGAAGGTGAATTTTGGCCCAAGCCATCAGTCTGGATAAGGTTACTCTACCTGTTCAGCTGCAAACAAAGGGTGGGACAGTCAAGGCTCCGTCTTCCTGCCATAGCCTATCAAGAAAAGATTTTTTTTAGTTCTGCACTGCTGCTTGCTCTTCATTGCTTGAAGGTCAGGAAGCTATAAACAGCATGAAAACCAAAGATCCCAGCGTATTATGTCTGCAAGGCGACACATACAGGAATGCACAGAGCTTTTTAACTTCACTTGTTAAAGATAAAAGACTATGTTAAAGATAAAGACTATGAGGACAGGCACCTGTGTAAAGTAGATTACAGAGAACATTTTGAGCCAAGAATACTGTTCTATCTCAACTGACCATTAGTTTTACAACAGAAAATTCTTTACAGTGAATATTATGAATGCAAGCCAAATACTTAACAGCTAGCTTCAATTATTTATTATTCTATATAGACTAGTAAATCATCCTGAGAAGTCACAGTCCTTGATGTAATTACAGTGTACATTAATGGGGCTTTAATATTTGACATAAGAATATTATTTGAGCAAACTTATTTACGGTGTCAGTTTTAAATTAGCTCTTGAGGGATTTGAAGGATACTCAGTATTGGTTGGCAGGTTTGAAGATTATTCTCCTCAAAGAGCTGTGCAGGATCTGCATATTTTTTCAAATCGTTAATTGGTAAAAAGCTTTGTATCTGTAAAGCTTGAAGCCTGCAGATAATGTCCAGACATATATATTTCCTACTGGGAGCAAGCCACCACACTGCATAAGAAATGAAGAATGTCAGTAACGCTGTGATTTCAATTTTAAAAGAATTAACATCATCACACCCTCCCCCCCACCTCCACCATACACAGCCCTTCCTGACTTCAGGAAGACTTTATCACCTCAGGAAAATTAACAGATGTACAGGTGAAGCATAACTTACTTTTAAAAAAAAAATCTATATAATTCACACTCATAATTCATACTCAAGTCTAAAGGTTTAGATTGCCCCTTCACAAATGTGGATGAAATTAAAAACAAAACAAAACAAAAAAGCTAAAGATTAAAAACAAAACAAAAAAAGCTAAAAAAGAAAATAATGCTGAATCACTCTTCATTAAACTCTTTAGTGTATATGCGAAATATCATGGATGATGCGGCTCATGAAGATCATTCAACTGTTGAGCAATCTATTGCAAGAAAAATAGAAGGAAAGAAGTCCAGTGAAAAGCAACAACAATTGAAGGAACTTAAAAAAGACAAATAAACAGAAGGAGAGAGAAAAGGAAGCTGGAGCAGAACATGCACTGATCCCCACAATTAACATACTTTCTCCATAGGTACTAGTCCTCAAGTAAATACCAATATCCAAATGCAGCCAATACATTAAAAGCATTTACTAGTAATTATTCAGAGTTCTCATTGCAGATTCCCAGCATACAGCTGTAATGGACTAGAATTTGCTCTACCTTCAAGGGTAATACATGAAAAAAAGCAAAAATAAACAACACACACAAAAAAACCCACCAAACCACTTTTCAGTGGGCAAAATTTTAATAACAACACAATAAAACCATTATACAAAAATCATGTACATATTTTGACAGTTATAAATAATATACACACTATATTTCACTCTGTGGAAAGTGTTTTAGATTAGATTTAGACAGCTTTAGATTATTCTGACTGGCTGTTACTTCACAGTGGGTGAGAAAAAACCCTACTTTTTCCAAAAGGGCAGCTGGAAGTTTGACAGTTCCTTTCATCTATAGGAAGAGACTTACTGTATGTGTAAAGTTAGTAAAGCTTTTCCAGAGGCAATAATTGGAAATCAACGTGCCTAATGCTCTGCTAGAGTGAACAGTGCAAAGTGGGCCAAAGAAATCTGTTCTCTTGTTTGCTGCTTTGCTTTTCCAGCATGGTAGGGAGGAAGAGAAATCAAGCTACAAAACAGGAGCCAAAAGCCTACAAGCCTAGTATAACATTTGTGTCTGCAATATTGTATTTTCATCCCTGTGGCTGCTGCAGGTCTGAGTATAACTGCAAGAATTTAGAAACAAGTAATAATAATAATAAAATACAGACACTTCAATGATGATTCAAGTATCACTTTGCCTGAATTTGGAAATATAATTTTGGAAACATCAAGGTATTTCAGATGGCGCTGGTTAAGAAGTGACGGAAGCCTTAAGTTTCAAAGGAAAATATATTTTTACTAAGAAAAAAAAAAGGTGGAATACTTAAACTGACCCACTAGATTAAGATGTTATTACATACAGCCACGAGGGTCAATAAAAACGAAGCAGCTTCTGTATGTAGGAATAAAGAGCACACAAGTGAACAGCTAGGAGTGGATACTTCTACAACACTTGCAGTCTTTCCAATTGGTTTCTCATCCTACCACAGTCAACTGCTGAAATGGCAAAGATTCTGTATTGTATGACAGGCACTCAATTTTGTATCAGGCAATCTTTGGGCATTCTTCTCTGTGCTTCAGTTTGAATTTGAAAGACAAATTACATATATGTTTCCTCGTTTTGGGCAAGTAATAGTTAATGAGTACATAAGGAAGAACAGAAAAGAAAGGTATAAAAAATTCAATTTAAAAAGCATGTTTACCCCTCCTTTTTCATACCATCACCATGCTTTTCTTACATGTTCTTTTTCCTGCCCCATGGTGCAGTTTCCTGCTAATTGTTATTCCACTGTGCAGAATCCAAACACTGTTATATAGTACAGCGTTAAGGAATTTCCTGAGTCAGGTTTATTCATCATTATCTGTAAAAAGCAGAATGAAGAGGAGAGAAAAGGAGACAAAGGATAAAAATCAGCCCAAAGTAAGAAAATAAAAAGTTAGAGAAATAATTTAATACACAATAATAGAAGAATTCATTAAGTCAGAAAAGTCCTATCTTGAAAACACTAGTGGCGCAAATAGTTCACAGCAATGAACATCTCTATTGGATTAGTGAATTTCTTAATGTACTTGCATCTCAAATTGCTTGCTTCACTTTCTATAGAGGTTTTTTTCCAGCTCTTCTTGAGTGATATAGAATTTAGGACAGAAGCTCCTGAAAATGCTCCTGATTGTCACTTGCTCTCTGTTAACCTTCTAAAGCTTTATTTTTCTCTAAATCTCAAAAACATAGTATTTTTTTCCTTTTTCATATGCTACCACATATTTGTAAAATCAAGCTCAAGCTATGAAAAATAGCAATTTATTCATCAGTATTTAGCAAGATCAAAGTCAGCTCATCTAATAGGATTCAATCAGGCAACAGCTTATAATTTAAAAGTATGCCAAATACTTTTAGCAAATTGTCATTTTATGCCTTTAGTACTGATTTTAAAATATCTTTAAGGCAAAGCATTAAAGAAAAATAAACTGGTAACTCTCCCTTTTTTCCCCTGTCCTATATTGTCCCGTTTGCTTGAAAGACTAACACAATATATCTTTCCAATTCTTTTAAGTCAATCAATTGAAACAAACTGTTGGGGCCACTTTTTTTTGTCGTGCAACACAGAATGAAACCAACATGGTACGAGTGTTCTGAGTGACTGCAACACTGTTCTGCAACACTGGCAAAGAAAAAATGGGAAATATAATGGGAATCTCCCTTTCTTATGAAAAATTAATGTGTTTTTAAAACTATTTTCCTCCTAGAAAATATTCATATACAAAAACCTTAGAAAATCATATTTAGAATAATCTTCCCTGATTTTTATTCACTTGCTATTGCAACAGATACGTAAAAGGATTCAAAATATGCAGAAAATAGACATTGAATAACATGTATTTCAAAGTTTTAACTATATAATTCATTAAATACAATGATGGATATATTTATATATTAAAGTTTCCAATGTCTATAAAAATAATTTGAGATATTTCAGATTTCTATTTTTTCCCCACAAAGGCTTTTACTAATAGAAAGGGAAAATTACAAAACTGCAATTTATTTCTTGGCACCAGCGTTTCTAGATAGTGGGCTGTGGGGCATCTCCTGCAGTGACTCTCTGAAGACTCCAGGTAACTGCCCATTTGCTTAGCAAGCTGCTAATCTAGGGAGGGTCCCTCCAAGACAAATTACCTGCATGCAGCAGGGAGCAGCCTGAAAACCAAGATAGATCAATATTTCCATCCCAGGTTCTTCTAGGCTATATGTCAGCTATACAATTAGAAACAAATGAAACTTTCCTTTCAGAAAAGTAGTGATGCTAGTTCAAATAACACTGTAACCTGTTAAAAGAACGGCTCTGGGAAGAAGAGTATTATTTTGGGTTTTTTGTTTATTTTTAAATCACTAACCCTTAAATTTACTTTAGCTCTGAAATTTTTATTCTAGACTTGGATCTAAATGACTGTTTTCCAGAAATTAATTAATCATATTTCACCTTAAGTTGACATCTTAACTGTGCTCTATCAAAAGTCTTCCATGCTTTGCTGTAGCAATAAAAATACCCTTTGTGAAATAAGTGAGCTTTCTCAATTAATCACTATAACAGTAAAGCACAGAGATGTTTTAAAAGTATAATAGGACCTATTATATATCATCGAACATATGACAAAGATAATGCATAATTACCACAATTTGATTACCTTCCTGGTAGGCTCCGTCTGCCATTACTAGGTGAAGTATTTTAGCATACAGGTGTTTGTGTTCATTTCCCAGAATAGTTTGAACTATGGTTGAACAAGCAGCAATATTTTCATCTTCATCTTCATGTATAGCCTAGGAGAAGGAAAAATCTGTATGGCCAAATTTTACGTGTGTATAAAATAAAAGAGTTCATTGATTTACGCCATGCTATTCACAGTTAAACCCCAAGCTTTCCTCTTTAAGCCACTAGCATAGAATTCTGTGTTAATGTTTTTGCTTGTTGAAACAAAGTAAAAGACTGAAGAAACGTGTGCTAATTCTAGCCACACAGTGACATTAGTTACAAGTGCAATAAACACCTTAAGTACGTTCATCATCTTTAAAATATTTCCCACTTGAGGTTATTTCACAAACCTTTATTTTATCATACACTTCAATGAATTTCTCAAAGCCTATTTCCTGTTCCAGGTTATATCTCAACTCTTCCAAATGGCTGAAGAGACTATCGCATTCCTCACACTCACTGGCAATCTCTCCATCACTATTATCTAAAAAGAAAGAATGAGCAATAGTTAAAAAAAAAAAAAAAAAAAAGTTTTCCCACATTGTGCTTATGTTGCTTCCATGTACCAAAATCTGACATCTACACAGATCTCTAAATCTAATGAAGGCAGCTAAGCTCAGGAGTGTTAAAGGACAGATGTTCTAAACAACCCGAAATGAAAAAGGGACAGTCCATTTCTTGACAGAGCCAAGACATTCTGATTCCCAAATGGGAAGCACTTAGCTATCTTCTCCAAGAAGGGTTCAGTGGCTGTAAGTAACAATACAAGGTAGAATCCTTACGCAAAATCCTACTAGCCAAAATGATATAAATTGCAAACTGAGTCTGAGAAACATACTTTCTCGGTAGTTACTTGCATTATGAGAGATTCTTTCTGCATATCCAAGCTACACACACAGGTATTACTTAAGTTGACTTTACTTTAAAACACTCACTAGAATATGTTACCTAGGCAGGAATGTTATTTTACAGGAATAATTTAGATATTCAATTTAAAGTTGTCTTTAAGGCAAAAATGTCATAACAACTACATAGTAATTACTAATTTTATACATTTTTATACATATATCTATAACATACACTGCTTTAAAACAGTAGTAAATTACTGACAACTCAACCAGAATTTCATAAACAGAAGTGACACTTGAGTATACTACTGTGTATTACAAACACAAAACTCTAAAAGCAATGGTAGCTTTGTAGTGTTTTTAGTTTGACTGCATTAGTAGCTATTTGGGAGAAGGACCAGGTTAATAACTTCACGTTCCTTTTCAGTGGCCCTTTAATTAGTTAATTCTAACAGAAGCTGGATCCCAAACACGCCAGTTATGTCAACTGTTATGGATTTTTCCATTCTTACACTGCAGTCATGAATTATTCAAAGAAGAAAAAAATAAAAGTGTTTGATCTTCCTTGAAGACACATTTTAGGTGACACAAAAAAAAAAAAAAAAAAAAAAAAAAAAAAAAAAAAAACACACACACCAGGGGGTTGGACTAGATGACCTCGAGAGGTCCCTTCCAACCTTAAGCATTCTATGGTTCTATTATAAATATATATATATATATATATATATATAAATAAAAAATCAGTGTCTAACAAACAGCCAACATTTAATTTACAACACTGATTGCTGCCTAGATGTTCACCTTGACATTCAGAAAATGTAAATATTTTTCCTAAGCTTTACATAAAAAGCTATTAATTAGACCTTCATTTTATTATAAGCATATAATGCAAAATCTTCTTCATATTGTTAACATCAGTAAAAAAAAGTTTTACAGATAATAAAGAAATAAAAATGGGTATTGTAGAGAACATACCTGACTGCCATTCCTCATTAAGTGCACTTTCACTGCTGGGGTTATTTTCATCTTCTTCATCCAGCTCTGTACCGTTTATTATGCACTCTATGGCATTGGCCTTTAAAGTTGATTCCTCCTCTTCACTGCATTCCTCACTAGGTTGTTCCCTAAGTAATTGTTCCATGGAGGCCCGGAGTTCCTGCAAATCTGTATCTGCCTCCCCAAACATACTAAAATAAAGTGATAAAATAATCTGTAATCAAAACCCTATAAGACAAACTCTGTAGGAAGAGCTCCTATCTTTTACTAAGCCAACTAGAATAGCTGAAAAATATTTTGGATGCATAAAGTCATTTTTTTTTTTTTTCCTAATCACATCACTGGTCCTAAGATGCTGTGAAATTGGTTGGCTTATTCAGCCCCGGAGACAGAAGAAGCCACTGTCACAGCTGATTAACACACATAATCCTACAAAAACCAAAGGAAACAAGAACAAACAAACAGCCTCCCAACGTAGACACTGTTTGGATACAAGGACATTAAAGGTCCAAATTACAGCAATCGGGAAGATTGCTCAATTTGATTTCCAAAGGGAGCAAGCAAAAAAAATGGGAGGAGAGGGAGGTGAAGCAGTCATGGATTTGATCTGGTATCTGTACATTGTAGAGAAATGCTGAAATGTAGTAAGATTTAAATCCAAACAAAAATAAATACAGAACAAAAAAATGTAGATATAGATCTTAGAACAAACTTAACACATAATTTGATCCCTACAGATTGCTCAAACTATAGGAAAGAGTCAAAAACTGTTTGCACCAGAATTTTGAAGCCCCCTGAAAAAAAATGGTGGAATTAAAGAATATGCTAATAACAAAAAAAAAAATGCCCAGAACATAAAAAGAAGAGAAATATTCAAGCAATTTATTTCTGTATGAGTTGGTAGCTGTCAATTTTGACGCGTTTCAGTGGAATGCAAGGAAAGACCCACAGAAAAGCATCTTAGATAGAATTCTGAGTGGAAATTCATATAGTAAACAGCATATCAGATTATCTGTTGCTTAGTTCTCTAAAGACAAATGCCTCCTGAAAACAACAACATAGAGTTTTTAATATGTGGCTAACCCCTCCCATGCTGTTAAACTGTGTATAACTATTAGTGTCTAACGAAAAATATAGTTGGTATAAAACAACATTTGAAATGCTAAATAAACTTATCACACTTACATGTCCTCAGAATCAGAGGGTCCTTCTTTGGCTTGTTCATCTTCTGTATCATCTATTTCAAGATCATCTTGACACTGTACATCTGCTACACTAGGCACATCAACTAGAGTTTTGTACAATTTGTGAAGATCTGGGAGTGAACATGTTCTCAACATCTGCAAAGGTAGTAAGAAAGCTTCATGTTTGGTAACAAAAAGAGTCTAAGGTTACAAATCAACTCTCTGTGCTTCCTCTTTTGAGGGTCAATTGAAAAATAAAGATGTGTGCAGTACAGATGGCCTAAATATTGAACACCCAAGCCTTCCTCCAGCTAGAACACTAACTCTGCCTGACTTTTTGCTGAGTGTTTTCTTAGATTCCACAGAAGAGCAGGAGCAAAGGTTAATTTGGGAGGTTCCATAAAGTTACATTTGCAGATATTAATGGAGACTGAAGTATTTGGAACTTATTCTGTTGCAATGAGCATAAGAGAAGAAAGAAAAGAGAATTTGCTGCTTTCCTTTGTCTTCTAGCAAGTCAACCACAGCACTAACAACAAAACATCTGTTGCTGTGACAAAAGCTTACACCCAAAACACACATCAATTTTGTAATAACAGATGACATAATTGAAATGGTTTACATTATCCAGCTTCAAGACAAACAGTTTCATAAATTAAGGAAGTAATGGTAGGCTAACTCTCCATGAATCACTACTAGAGCCATAAAATTTTTATGTGAACATACGCATCTGTGAAAATTTGCCTGCAGTTTGCCAAGAAGCCTTATTTTCACAGAGATAAAGGCTGTATCTGTGTAATGCTCCTTAGCAATGCAGCAATCGATTGAGATTACTCAATGTTTGATTAACCATTCAACAGTGCAGCTACTGTAGGCACACTCAGAAACAAGGTGGAGTGTCAAACCAAGCACATTTTGTTCATCTCTGCCATTCCTCTCCCACCTGTACTCCACACTAACTGCATGCAACACAGGTGTGCAAGTTTCTAAAGAATCCTTGCCACAAACGCTTCCCCCAAAAGCAGCTCTTCCTTTTTATTCTTGGCATGTTAGAAGGAGGGCAAGTGACTCATATAATTTTAGGAAAGAAGCCAGTTTGATCTACAAGCTCCATCCTCTGACCATTTCGCAGACTGAGTTACCCATGTAGACTGACGAGAAATAGCTTCAAGAGAGTTACTTCTATTACTCTTCCATCTTCCTACTTCACCTGTGATAGCTGATCAAATTCTACAGTAACTGTATCTATCACCTTGTCATAAATACCAAAATATCTTTACCAATTTGTTCAACGTTTATGTTTCTGCTGGTAAGGTGGTGGTAAGGTTGAAAAAAGAAAAAAGGAAAAAAAAAAGTCACACGAAAGTAACCAAGCAAAACAGGAGAAATCAGGAATTTCCTCATCAACTCCTTCAGTTACATCCCAGAGAAGTAGTGGTATTCTTCCATAAACATTTTGAACTGCTGATTTCACCATTCAGAATTCTAACACACACAATGCTGAGGGGCTCCTG